AATAAAATTTAAATATAAAAATTTATTTAAAAATAAAGTTATCATAAGTTATAAATATGTATTATAAATATGGATCAAAATAAATAAGAAATTTTAAAAAATTCATATACTCTAATTAAAAAAATGCCTAAAATCCAATTGTAAAAAAAACCACTAAATATTTTTTCACATAAATAACTATTGGTATTAATTATGTAGGAGTGCATATAAATATTTTTTTTATTATAAATTAATGTCTTGCTTTACAAAAAAAAGAAAATGCGATTGATACTCAACAACAATAATATCATCACTTTTAAGCAATTTATAATTTTTTTTAAGTTTTCTTTAGCGACCGAATATAATTCTATCGCTAATTTTAACTAATATTTAGCAACCAAATTCAATTTCATCGCTAATTTTAACTAATTTTTAGTGACTGAATTAAATTTTGTCGTTAATTTTAACTAATATTTAGCGACTAAATTCAATTCCGTCGCTATTTTTAACTAATATCTAGCGATCGAATAGAATTTCATCGCTAATTTAACTAATATTTAGCGACCGAATTGAATTCTATCGCTAAAAAAATCAAAATTTCTTATTTAGCAAACGAATTCAATTCCATCGCTAATTTTAACTGATACCATCTTAGATTAATTGATTTAAGTCTAACTCAACCCTACAAAATCGGCTTGTAAGGTAAGGGTTGTTTTTTATTTATATATTATTCAATTACTTAATTTCTAGTTGATGTGAGACTTGGGTTTTTCCCAATAATTTCATTCAAGGCAAGACAACAAGAACCAGTAAAGGCTTAAGGGTTGCCTTAGTACCCATAATCCTCATATATACCCATATTGAGAGACAAATCCACTCTCCCTCTTACGTAGAAAACATTCCTATGACAAAGTTCCAAGTGAAGCTTCCCTTGTTAACCTCCTTTTCACTTTCTCCCTTTTTTTTTTTCCTCTTTTCCTCCCTTCTCTAGGTTTTCTAATGACTGACTCTAAAGTCCTTCTTCTTCCTTCTTTTTATAAGGTTAGTTTTATCAACTCATTCTCACTATTCAACTCCTATTACTTCTTATTATTAGCTTAACATTATATTTTATTTGAGGTTATTTATAAATAAAATAATTCAAATAATATTTATCTCATATATATATAGGAGGATCTATTCACTTCAAGAGCAAGTCTACCTAGACTTATTTCATTCAATAACTCATGTTATCAAATTTAAATGATCCAGTCATTGAATTTAAAGTTCTTAATGCATAGATTAAGTCTGTAAATTTTTAAAAAAAATTGAAAACTATTTGATACTTTGTTTTATTAATTCAAATCAACGTATAAAATATTTTTATGATTCTCCTTCAATTTGAATTAATGAAACAAAATATCAAATAATTTTTAAATTTTTTAAAAATTTGCAGAGACTTAATTTATGCATTAAGAACTTTAATTTCAACGACTGAATTGGTAAAATTTGATATAAAACATGAGTTATCAAACAGAATCAATTTTGGTAAACTTACTCTTGAAATAAACGGATCCTATATTATATATATGTGTGTGTATGTGTGTATGTATGCATACTTGTGTACGCACATGTATAATATCCGACGTATAAAAACATGGTAATTAATTTATGAAAAAGATAATATTTACATATTACTATAGATATAATAAATATTTGAGATAAACTTACATATAATAAGATAAAATAGAAATAGGGTAATATGCTATATATAGTTTAGATATAAGATATCTTTATGGAAAACTTGTCAAAAAGTAAAATAATTATCTTTAATTTGAAATATAACTAATATTCAAGCAATTATGCTTGAAATCTAAATAAATAATTAAGATGAAACAATTTGATATATAATTTGAAGATAAACGAATATAAAATTTCTTGATATAAATAAGATAATAAACTAAACAAATATATAAAATAAAAACTAAGATAAGATAGTTTTAAATATAGTCAACTCATAACATAAAACATTTAATTCCCCTTAATAATATTATTAATACTAATAGTACGAAAATATAATACAATTATCATACATAAGGTTCTAAAATAAAGTGTTGTTGTATTCTATTTTAATTATTAGAGATTTTGGGATGTTACAATGAAGTAGAAAAATAGGTTTTCTCAATACAGGGTTTCTTGCACGAGCTCCACCATTTTCTCTTGCTTTAGTAAGTCTTGATGTTCCTCATGGCTTTCTTTAAATAGGCTAAGAAGTATCCGTTGGAGATAGAAGCTTTTGGTAGTAAGTAAAAAGTAACTTCTAAAAAAGTACATACCAGATGAACATTTTTTATAGCCTAGAAATCATTTTGAAAATCCATTCTAATGTGTCATTCTGATGACATATTCTAATGGTACTTTCTGATGTTCATTCTAATCTCCCATTCTTTTATGTGTGCTCATCATTTAGTTGGCTCCATCGTTTATCTTAATGAGGATCCTTTATAGACATTTTGATCATTCGGAGGTTGATGTAGGTTTGGTCGGCGATATATCCTTGGCTCAGAAATCGTCTTGATGCTTTATTTAAAAGCTTTGTTAAGGATATGCATCATAAATCGTCATGCATTATTTTCAAGTTAGTTTTCATTCTGATGCATATATGTTGATTGTTCCATTCTAAGGATCACTTCAAAAGAGGATCTTAATTTCTAACTGGAAAACACATGACTCATTAATATATCACTCTGATGCAGCCATTATAACAGCTTCATTTTGGTGTATTCCATTTTTAAATGTATCTTATAAATCAGACCTTTATGATGACTTGATACTGGATTTGGACTAAGTTATCAAATATAATCATGGAAATAAGCTTTACAAGGTTCTTCTAATCTTTTTAATTTGGAAGCCATCATTTTGAACTGTATTCTGATCTACTTCATTATTAACTTTGAGTATTCACTAAAATACTTAGTAGAAAAATTAGTCTTGATATATATTTTTACATATTTCTTATAATTTGGATATCTAAGTGTTTGTCATAATTTAAACCACTTAAGATCTGGATCAACATTTTCAAAACTAGACCAGTCGTCATTTAATTGGTTAGACACTTTCATGGTTCAACTATAGTTAAACTGTAATTAAATTAGTATTAATAAAATAATAATAAAATCATTTGTATCGTGATATTCTATACTGTGAACATTCATGTAAATTCTTAAATTCTTTCTTGTACAACATTCAATCGTTCGCCTCACAATAAATAATTTAAATTTCTTAAAAATAAGTATTATATGATAAAAATAAATAAATAAATAAATAAGGTGGAAAAACAAAGAATTTCTTAAAAGAAATTTATATTGAGTGAGACCAAAACACTTGTTCTATAATCAAGGAAGACCACCAACCTTAATGAAGATTTATAGGCCTGAGCACGGGTCGGGTTCGGACGGGTTCGGGTCAAAAATATTTAGCCCAATCCAAACCGACCAAAAAAAAAATTAACCCATTTTCGATTGTAACAGTGTTTCGAGTTTATCGGGTTCGGGTTTGTCGGGTCTCGGATTAACTAGGTCGGTTTAGTCGGATTGAGTCATATTGGGCCCTATTTTTATTTGTTTTTTTTCAAAATCTAAACAATAAAAAAAGATAACAACAATGGAGGAGAGAGGGATAGCGAAGCCACTGTGGTAAGGGACAGCGCGGGAGTCGCCGCAGTTGGAGACGATGATTTTGTCCTGTGTGATGGCAGTGATGACCGCGGTGGATCTGACAGCGTCACAGTGAGGAGTACGAAGCTCGCAGCAGCAAGCATAGGTGTGTTCGTTCTAGCTGCAGCGATGAACCTCGTCGTCCATGTGAGCGAAACTGTTCTCCCTGTGCTAGGGTTCATTCGAGTGATGTCATTCGCTGGAGCCTCGCGGTCCAGCGCGCGAAGGCTTCACTTAACATGGGTGAGGAGGACGTGGTGGTTGGGTGCTGCAGGGGGATGATCCTGACGGGACGGGTAGCGGTAGGATTTCTAGTTTCTACTGGTGTGAGCACAAGGTTTCGCGATGCTTAGGTTTCTACTCTCGCAGTGCTAGGGTTTGTAGTTTCTACTGGCGTGAGCGGCAGTTAGGGTTTCTAGTTTGTGAGTAGAAGAGAAGGTTTCCCGTAGCAGGGGCTTAGGATTTTTAGTTTTACTCTCACGATGCTAGCTTTACAAGAATAAATAACATACCTTTTAATTGTTTTGGGTCGGTCGGGTATGGATACCGACGGGTTCAAATATTTTAACCTGAACTCAACCAACATAACCCATTACAAACCGAGTCTAACAACCTGCAAAACTGGAAAAACCAAAAATAATCGGCCGAACTAAGAAACTCACCGCAGAAATTTTCGGATTCGGGGTGAAATTTTCTTCTCACGCCTAATTTATAGTACTGATAAACCAACCTGAGAAATATTAGAATTGCACCCCAAAATAGTAGGAACAAAAAGATTTGAAAAGATGTGTTAACTCGTGTTTGGATTTTGCAATAAAGGAATGCAGCTAAGTAAAACTCTAGTTTTAATTATGATAAAACCCAAAAAAATATTATAAAAAACACTAAATCGAAGTTTTATTGATCATATTCTATGGCCATAATATTATGCATGGAATTACTAAGAGAACAAGATTTTATTCCCCTGCGATATATGGGTCAGTAAATAACTTTTATAACATTTGTTATTTAGAATTTATTAATAAATTAAATAATTTTTTATTTTGATATTTGTATATATTTTAATAAAATAAATTAAAAAAAATAATTATATTTATATTCTCTTGTGCATGACTTGTTAGCATTGTTTGTGTGATGATAAAAGAAACAAAAATATACACTATATTTTGGATTATCGTTCAATCAAAAATCTTTGTGTGTAATAAATTTATTGATTTTCTTTAAAAAAAATACTTAAAAATTTTGTGTGTATATATATATATATATATATATATATATATCATAATTTGTAATTTGTAGATATATATATAAAACAATATTTTATATTCAATACATAATCATAAATTTATATTTCTTAAATATGTATATAAGACACGTCTAGAAACTCGCTGAGAACAAAAGCCAGATGTAAGTCAAACGTATGCACAGCTTTTTGGGTAGCAGCCTCTTTTGAACTATCTGCCCAAATTGTTGACTATTATACAAGAGCTTTAAGTATACACTACCACGTCAAGCTTTTTGTCCGATAATTATTTTTATCCTGGGTTACACATGTCAATTTGATGCCTTCAGATTCAGTGTTAAAATAATATTTTATCAGTGAAAGTCATGAATTATAATACAAATTAATTTTTATTTCTCAACTTTAAGACATTGTATGTATCATACCCATAAAAAAATATACATTATATAGACAATTAGTCATGATCAATTAATTCAATTGTTATAGATTTCCTGTTGTTTTAATTAGTGTAAAATTTGTTATTGAAATTAATTATATATATTTGCTGTATTCAGTGATTTAAAATGAATTAATTTTAACAGTTACTTTTTTCTAACTTTTAAAACAGACAGACACTTAATTATCTGTATCAACAATATGGTATCCAAATTATTTCATTCTTATCGTAGATTATTAGCCCAACACATGCATATCATACAAAAACACATGCAAAGGAATATTAATTCTTTAACGTATCTTATATTCTTAAAATATAATAATTTTTAATTTTATAAACACAATCCAAATTGTCAATACCAATATCTTGAACAAAAACAAAGTTATGCGTGCATAGCAGCCTCATCTACCACGACATTCATTATTCCAACAACCAATTCAAGGAATGAGAATTAATAAAATTGCCACTAGGCTCGAGCGTTTACTTGAAGGAATTATGGCTATATAAACATCATAAAAATTGAAGAAAGTAGACAAGTATTAAACACTAGTAAAAATGAGTTCCAATTCCAACAAGAGTACACTTCCCAAGGAAGCAGGAAAGGTGGATGATGCTTACCTCTCTGCTACGTTACTTTGCTTTAGCCGGATCCTCCCTGCAGTTCTAAATGCTGCTGTTGATATCAATTTGTTTGATATCATAGCAAAGGCAGAGAGTTCATGTCATGCATCTTTATCTGCCTCTCAAATTGCTTCTTTGCTTCCAAATCAACACCCTCAATTGCCTAATAGGCTTGAACGCATCTTGCCACTTCTAGCCAGTTACTCTCTTCTGGATTGCTCCATTCGAACCAATCAAGATGGTAACAAAGAAAGAGTTTATTCTCTCTCCCCCGTTGGCAAATACTTTGCATTTGATAATGATGGAATCTCTTTGGCCCCTCTCACAACTTTAATAAATCGCGGATTTCATGACCTATGGTAATTAAGAACTTTGTGGTACTTAAAGCTTTTTTCTACAATGATGCAACTCATGGATTTTTAATATAACTTTTTGTCATGTGTCTTAATAGGACGGATGTGAAGGATGCAATTGTGGATCCTAATTGCTATAACCATTTCGAAAGTGTCTATGGAATGCCATCATTTGAATATATGGAGAGAAATGGGGAGCTGAATGACATGTTTAACAAAGCAATGGCTCACGCTGGCCCAATAGAAACTAAAATGGTAATCAACTCATACAAAGGATTTGAAGGAGTGTCAACACTGGTTGACGTTGGAGGTGGAGTTGGAGAGACCTTAAAACTAATTCTCTCTGCATATCCTTCAATTAAAGGCATTAATTTTGATTTGCCTCAGATGATTGAGGATGCACAACCTCATCCAGGTACATATATTAGTTTCTCTTCCTCTATATATATAAACAACCCACAAATATTTTAAAACACGTGGAAAAAGCTTTACCAAAATTATTAATTAGCTGACACTCATTTTGCGTGAAGGTATAGAGCACATCGGAGGGTCTATGTTTGAAACTGTTCCAAATGGTGATGCCATATTACTAAAGGTTAGTGAACTACTTGAGAGTTTGATTTTTTAGTTTAAAACAAATCAATATAGCGAAAATAAATTTCTAATCACATTTTCTTCTTTGTTGCCTTTGGCCATTTCAGTATGTATGTCATAATTGGTCAGATGAAGATTGCATAAAGTTTTTAAGAAATTGTCACAAAGCTTTGCCACCACATGGAAAAGTGATTGTTTTGGATCTTATAACCCCAGAGGTCCCGAATTCCAGCGGCACATCTAAGCGTACTTGTGTTGTCGATAATCACATGTTTTTATCACATGGTGGAAAGGAAAGAACTGAGAATGAGTTTGAGAACTTGTGCAAGAGGTCTGGTTTTTCCAAATTTCATGTTGCATGTAATGATATCCCAGGTGCGGTGGGAGTGATGGAATTTTATAAATAGAAAACTGTTGAGCAGTAATTTGAATCTTTGTATTTTCCTAATAGTTGTTGGATAGGGATTATACACTAGAAACATTCTTATCCAAGGACCGAGTGTATCGTACAAGTCACTTTGACCCTACATCGTAATAAATAAGTCAATAGTGAATAAAGAGACATTATGTAATATTTTTACTTATTTTTTTTTAATGAATTGTAATCCTTTTACTCATTCATATAACCTAATACATGTGATTATATATTTATTGTTTCTGCACGCATTGCCTTCATATTTTCTCCACCAAACTTCCCATGTCTCTACTTCCTCCACTTTCCTTATAGCTAGGTCATTCTCACGTTGGAACTCTTTGTTGCGGTTATCAGGCCCAACGATGGATGCCAATAGGGACAAGCCTATTGCCAGAGCATTCAAATGGATTTTTCCAATCTGACTTCTTTTTGTCTGGGATCTCGCCTCTTAAATTGTTTATGCTACCTTAACTTCAGGGGTAGCTGCATGTTCTACTTTCTCTGTAATATCAAAGACAGGTTGTTGAGTAGCTGTTCGCCATAATTGAAAACTGCCACGACCATTATTATCCACCCACGTCCATGCCTATCTAGGTTCAATCTATGGGTTTAAGGTTTTACATGGAACAGCCAAAGTGGTTAAGTGAAATTGGACAAAGATTAGTTGGTTTGTAAATTGAAGCAGTTTCTACGTGGTTTAAAATAGTCTCCAAGATAATGGTATAAATGGTTTGATTTTTATTTGTTTCGATTGGCTATTGGCATTGAATATGACTATTGTGTTCATGTGAAGAGTCTTAATGATAATTCTTTTATTTTTCAGTTAGTTTATGTTGATGATATGTCGAATATTTTTAGCATATCTACAAAAATATACTTTTTGACTTTAGATAAAGGCTAGATCTCTCATTATCGGATATATGCACAAAAGTATAATACCTAATAAAAAAAATTTAAATTGACAAAATTAATTGGGTTACCTGTATAGACCTCTTTTACAACTTTGCAATCCAATGAGGCTCGTGGTGATAAATTGAGTAGATAACACACCATGTTAACAACCTCTACCCAAAAGCCTTTTGAGAGCTCAATATTTAGCCTTAGACATCTAGCCCTTTCAATGAAGGACTTGTTCATCCTTTCTACAACATCATTTATTTGTGGTGTTTTATACACTAAAAAATGTCTCTGAATGCCTTGTTCTTACAGAATGTATAAAACTGTGAATATGTGTACTTCATGCCATTATCAGCTCTCAAGTACTTAATTTTTCTATCATCAAGTTCTCCAACCCATCTAGGAATAGCAAATGGGCAAGTCAAGGCGAGCTTTGCTTATCCCATCCCTACCCCCACAATAGGCAGATCAAGTTTGGATTCAAGTTTTATAGAGGTGGGTTTATGTTTTTAAACTTCATCCTCATTCCTATTCATATCGAGTTTTGTCGGGTTTGGGTAAACTCATAGGGACCTATTGTAATTTACTTACACAATTTAAATAAATTAAATTATAAGTTAATAATTATATTATAATATTTATAATACATAAAAAAATAAGAAAAAACTTATAAATTCATATAATTTTGTTACTTATTTATT